ACAGATTGTTTGGCTTTAATGAGAAAAGTTAAGTTTACTGTTACATTACAACACTGATAATTTTTTTTCTTTCTCTTTTGGTAATATTGGAGATTGAACTGAGGGCCTCACTTATGTAAGGCAAGTGCTCTACCACTGAGCTACTTCCCCAACCTTTTTTTTGTTTTTATATTTGAGACAGAGTCTCACTAAGTTGACCAGACTGGCCTTGATTCTTCTACCTCAGCCTTCTCAGTACATAGGATTACAGACATGTGGCACCAACCCTGACTGGACTGAGGAGGGTTGGTTTTTTAAGTATGCATTTTTAAAAACTTTAAAAATAATTATAAATTCATGAGATGTTGCAAAAAAATAGTACCCCTAGTTTTTTCCATCAGTAATATGTTGCATAATTATAAAATGATATCAAACCAGGAAGTTGACATTTTGACAATCCACAAAGTGTATTCAAGTTGCAGCAGTTTTACAGGTGTGATTTTAATTCTGTGTGACTTTATCACAAGTGTAAATCCATGAACTACTACCACAGTCAATATAATTATATGGATTTCTTGTGCTATCCTTCTATAGCTACCCTGACCTTAACCTTCTATCCCCTCCACTAACCCCTGTCAACCACTGATTGGTTCTCCATCTCTATAGTTTTGTCTGTTTTTGTTTTCAGTTTTTCAAAAGATATAATATTTTTCATTGTATGTATTTACTCATTTGTAATACTTAGAAATTTAGCTGCATAGGCAATTATGTCTTGTTTTTCATGTAAAAGGCTGGAAAATGGAAATAAAGAAAGCAACAAAGGGAAAGGCAGGAAGATGCAGAGGTGAAAAACTAAAGATTGTGATAATATTGGTGAGGAAGAAGTAGGTGATGGCAAAATAAATAATTCTAGAGCTAAGGCTCAATATATTAGATTGATATTTCTAGTTTCAAGGAATGTGATCTCATGATCTTACTAGATGTTCACATAGGAAAAACTAAATCCTGTGTTTTTATAGCTAAAGCATTATAATTTTAGTGAAGTTTTTGACAGTCAGGAATCCATATCCAAGTGAGGCTGCATTAATCCTCAGGCAGCAATGATTTTGCAGATCTGTGTTGTTGGCAGGATTCCCTTTTAGTTCTCAACTTCTACTTTTGCTGCCAGGTTTGTCTTTTAGGGAGAGATGTAGAAGGTCCCGTGTATGTCCACGACCCAAGCACTTTTAATTCACCTGGTTGCAGTGGTTGCCTTCTTAAATCAGGGGTTCAGGAAAAGCCGAAACAACTCTAAAAAGTAGACCTAGAGAAAAATCTAGACCTAGAGAAAACAAGAATGGCCAAGTATTGACAGTCATTAAACTGAGTAGGAGCTACTTGGGAGTTCTTTACTCTGTTCACTTGACTTTTGTGTGTTTGAAATTTTCCATAATTAGAAAGTTGAAGAAGAAGATAATAAAAGCAGAAAGCAAGAGAATGGCTGTGAGTGAGAAAGTCAGAGCCTGTTGAGGGCAGCCCATGTCAGGAACTGAGCTGTTTATATGCACTTTGAAAATGAAAGCAATTTTCTTTTAAAGTTGAATTTTTAAAAAGTTGGCCTTATTCTTACATATCATTTGATTATTTACAGAGGATTGCTGTGTGCCAGATGCCATTCTAGACAGCAAGCTCAGCAGTGAACATCTCAGATAAAACCCCTACTTTTCAGAGGGCTTACATTGTATGCAATAAACACCTCATTATATAGAGTATGTCTCCCTAAAAGACAAACCTGGCAGCAAAAGTAGAGTATGTGATATGTGCTATGTCGTAGAACAAGACAGCAGAGGTGATGTTGCACTTTTAAGAGGACAGGGAAGACTTCATAGAGAAGGTGACCTTTGAGCAGAGACTGGAAGGTAGGGCAGAGGAAACTGTACAGGACTCTGGCAAAAGCCCTGAGGCAGATACAGTTGAGTTTCACTTGAAACAGGGTCTGTGGTATGTGATGGATGGCAGGAAAGTCAGAGTGACTGGGTTGTGGTATACTGTATAATGGATTTCCAGATGTGTCCATGTCCTAGTCACTGGACCCTGTGAACATGCTTTCATGGTAAAGGGCCTTTGCAAATAGGATTAAGTTAAGGATCTTGAGATGAGATGGGGGATTATCTTGAATTATCCAGGTGGGCTTAATGTAATTACAAGGCTCAGAGAAGAGGTAACTTGCTTCTGGCTTTGAAGATGGAATAAGGGGTCCAAGCTAAGGAGTAGAGATGGCAGCTAGAAGCTGCGAAAGGAAAGAAATATATTTCCCCTGGAGCCTCCAGGAAGAATGCAACTACTACCTTGATTTTAGACTTCTGGCCTCCAGCACTGTGAGAGGAAATCTCTGTTGTTTTACATCACTAAGTTTGGTAGTGTGTTAGAGTAACCATGAGAAACTAATAGAGTGGCACTAATGGAGTGGGAGGGAATAAGAGGAAGAAACTAATAGAGTGGGAGGGAATAAGAGGAAGGATGGTCAGAATGTAAAAGGCGTTTTAGCCCACTAAAAGAATTTGAAGCTTCATTCTGAGTGGCCTGGGAAGGCTTTGAGTGTTTTGAGCAGAGGAGTGACAAAGGCTTACTTTGATTTATTTTATTTGTTTTGTAGTACTGGGGATGGAACCCAGGGCCTTGTGCATACTAGGCAGGCACTCAACCACTGACCTACACCTCTAGCCCCTGACTTTCTTTTTAAGTGGGATCATTTTGGCTGCTGTGTGGGGAATAGGCTGTTGGGGGATAAGCATGGCAGTAGAGAGACCACTCTGACCTGAAATCATCCAGAGAAGAGAATGTTGGCTGGGCCAGGCTTGCCTCAGCAGAAGTGGGCAGAGTCAGAATTGCTGATGGGTTGAATGCAGGAAGAGAAAGAAAAGTCAGCTAAGACTTCTGAGGTGTGGACTAAGGAACTGGAAGGATGAGCTTGCAATTTGCTGAGAAGGTGAAAACTGTGTGATGAGCAGGTTTGAGGGGAAGACCAGTAGTCAGGTGTGAGGCTGAAGGTGAGTTCTGGGTTGAGCTCTGGATTGGAGATGTTAACTTGCCAGCCCTTTGCACGTCAATAGTATTTGAGGCAGGTAACTCAAGAGAACATGAAGGAAGTGCATGTGGGAAGAGGAGGGTGTTCAGGGATGTCTATGGATATGGTGTGTTCTCCCCAAGCAGATGTGGTATGTGAAGTTGTGAATGGAACAATGACATTTCCCTTTTGTAATCTTTGTTGATAATTTTAATCCAGGCAGAGCTAACACAGCTAATTTTCCAGCCACCAGCTCACTCCTCCCCATCCCCCACCCCAAATGTGGTGATTCACAGTGGTGCTATAAAACAAAATGCTAGAGACACTTTTATTAGCAAATTCTTGCAGCTGAGGCTCACTCAGTGGGGCTTTCACTGAGCCAGGGCCTTTCAATTCTGGTGAATTAAAGAAAGACCATTGGACCTTTGGAAAATTCAGGCTTGTAAACTTGCTACATTTAATATAAGTCAAGAAATCAAAACAATTAGAAAGATTTTCTTTTGGTTAGCCCCTTTAAATTTTGCTTGTGAAAGTTTTAACTAGATCCTTGCTGATTTTTTTTCTTCAGAATTAAATTCTTAAAGGCTGTCATTTTTCTTCTCCTTTAAAAGAAGTTAAAAAGCACCTTCCATTTATAGTTTGCTAAAGAAATTGCTGGCATACTTTCATTTTTAATGCATAATTGTGGGTACAATCCTGATCCCTTTTTGGAAGTAATTCTCACCTCTACCTTTTGTAAATCCCTCAAACATATAGGGGTGTGTATGTGTGTGTATAATCCGGGATCCTGAATATTATTTTTTGTAGACTAAGAACTGAGTTCTGGCATTAGTGATATGGATAATGCACCAAAATGTCAACTTTTTATTCTCAGTTTTTTAGTTCGTAAACCTGTTTTGCAGTTTTCAGATTGTTATTTAAAACAACTTGGATCTTCTTTGGAGCTGATAGAAGGTCTGAGATGTTTGCGGTTCCTGAAAGTCCCACTGAGAACTTTCTCCATTTTTTTTTCTTCATACATGTACTTTGGATAATGATGATCATCAATTCCACTATCATTTCTAACCCCATGCCCCCTCCCTTCTGTTCCCACCCCTCTGACCTATCTAGAGTTCGTCTGTTCCTCCCATGCTCCCCTTCCCTACCCCACTATGAATCAGCCTCCTTATATCAGAGAAAACATTCAGCATTTGGTTTTTTGGGATTGGCTAACTTCACTTAACATTGTCTTCTCCAACGCCATCCATTTACCTGCAAATGCCATGATTTTATTTTCTTTTATTGATGAATAATATTCCATTGTGTCTAAATGTCACATTTTCTTTATCCATTCATCTACTGAAGGGCATCTAGGTTGGTTCCACAGTTTAGCCTTTGTGAATTGTGCTGCTATAAACATTGATGTGGGATGTGTCCCTGTAGTGTGCTGTTTTTCAGTCCTTTGGGTATAGACCAAGGAGAGGGAAAGCTGGGTCAAATGGTGGTTCCATTCCCAGTTTTTCAAGCAGTCTCCATACTGCTTTCCATATTGGCTGCACCAATTTGCAATTCCACCAGCAGTGTATGAGTGTGCCTTTTTCCCCACATCCTCACCAACACTTATTGTTGTTTATATGTATAATAGCAGTCGTTCCAACTGGAGTAAGATGAAATCTTAGAGTGGTTTTAATTTGCATTTCTCTGATTGCTAGCAATAATATATTTGTTGATTGAGTGAACTGTATATCATCTTCTGAGAAGTGTCTGTTCAGATCCTTGGCCCATTTATTGCTTGGGTTATTTACTTTTTGGTGTTTAGCTTTTTGAGTTCTTTATATCCCTAGAGATTAGTGCTCTATCTGATGTGTGAGGGGTAAAGATTTGCTCCCAAGATGTAGGCTTTCTCTTCACCTCACAGGTTGTTTCTTTTGCTGAGAAGAAACTTTTTAGTTTAAATCCATCCCATTTATTGATTCTTGATTTTAATTCTTGAGCTAAAAATATGGAACCCTTCATGAATTTGTGTGTCATCCTTGTGCAAGGGCCATGCTAACCTCTGTATCATTCCAATTTTAGTATATGTGTTGCCAAAGTGAGCATAAACTTTCTCCATTTTAAAGTGGCTGAAATATGTTTGGTTTAGTTCTTATGACAACCCATCCAGCATGTTTAATGTACTTGGGATCTTCTAATTTGTAGTCACTGAGCACTGGGTTTGCATGCTATTAAAATAGTGATTTAGAAGCTCCATCTGAGAGAAGGGGAGAAAAAAAGATTTTGGACTCCAGAATTTAAAGGTCTCTCTTTGGGTTCAGTCTTTTGACCTAGACTGACTGTATGAGCAGGAACCAAACTTTCCCATGTATAGTTTCCCCAAGAATGGGAAGCAGCCCTCAGTCGGGGTACATCTGTGGATTGGGTCTCACATGCAGGTAGGTGTCAGTATGGCAGACTGAGGTAAAGTATTGATGAGAGTTGCTGACCTTAATGTCATAGATGTAGTTGGTGCCCAACTTACATCTTGACTGATTTGTCTGCAGAGCACTGGGCTTTTGAAACACTCCTTGGAGGAAGAAGTCGGGAACCAAAAAAGTCTGGGAAACGCAGCTTCTTACATTCCCATCTTAGAGATAAGCAGTCTGTGAAAAGCTCTGAGAAGTACTGCAACAAAGAATCCTGCTTAGTATTGTTTAAACCAATGTTCCCTAGACTGACTTGATTGTGGAATACTTTTTTTTTTAAGTTTTATTTTCTTAAATAATTTTTTAATTTTTTAGTTGTACATGGACATAATATCTTTATTTTTTTTTTATGTGGTGCTGAGGATCGAACCCAGTGCCTCACATATGCCAGGCAAGCACTCAACCACTGAACTACAACCCCAGCCCTACCCCCCCTTTTTTTAAAGAAACTTATCAGGGTTGTGGCTAGGGCTGTGGCTCAGTGGCAGAGCACTTGCCTAGCATGCATGAGGCATTGGGTTCGATCCGCAACACCACATACAAATAAATATATAAAATAAAGCTATTCTGTCCATCTACAACTATAAAAAAATTTTAAAAAAGAAATTTATCAGCACACTGGGGAGCTATTGTTCTGCTGAACACACTTTGAGTAGTGCTGGTCTATTTAATGAGGTAATAATGACATTTTTATGGCCTCTTTGCTATTCTGAGTCTTGTTCAGTAGTTACATTTTTATAAAAATTTTTGTTTTATAATTTTTACAAAAAGGGCTCATGTATCCCAAGGATCAGAGTTAGTTACTCTGTGTTTGGTTAGCACTTTCTACCTTGGAGAACCTGGGAGGATTTCTATAGGTTACTCCTCATCTTATTGCTCATTTGCTCCTGAGTTCCAGAGATCTGTTAGGGGGTGTACTCTGCTCTGAAATTATTTGAATTGTGGTCTGGCTCTATCACAGCTGATGTTGGTCCATCCCTTTCTGTGCTTCTTGAATGCCTACTGCTCAGACTCACTCACTCTGGCACAGACAGATGGACAGACACTACCAGGGTGTCATGGGTAGGCTCAGCTGTGGATCACATATGCCAAAAATAAAACCACAGTGTTCTGTCTAGTCAAAACTGGGGCTCCAGTGTTATTGAGTCATTATTCCATTCTTTATTGTCTGACCACTTGTGATCAGATGAGGATTTGTTTCCTGAGCCCTTATGGCTAAGATGGAAGAGTGTGGGATGACAGTGTGGTTAAGTGGATTTGTAACTGATGCTGTGGCCTTACCCAGGGTGAGTTGCTTAATGGATCCATGTCAGCAGTGGGGTGGACTCCAGTGGTTTGCCACAGGGCCCTGTCCAGCCTCAGCCTCATCTTGGTTAATTTTTGTAAAAAAAAATAATTAAGACACGAAGGCCCACATATCATATTTTGCAGGGCATTTATGTATGGGAGAATTAGCTAGTACGGTGGATAACAGGATTCAGAGATGATCTGAGGGGGCTAAAATGTTGAGGGGCATTGGACAGGCAATGAGGTGGTCCTTAAAACAGATAAGAAGTTTAGAAAGTTAAGAATTTAGGTGTAGCCAGATGCAGTGGTGCATACCTATAATCCCAGTGGCTTGGAAGGCTTGAGGCAGGAGGATTGCAAGTTCAAAGCCAGCCTCAGCAACTTAGTGTGGCCCTTATTTTGAGTCCCTGTCTCAAAATAAAAAACAAAAAGGGCTGGGAATATAGCTCAGTGGTAGGGTATCTGACAGGCATTTGTGATGCTTGAATTAGCACTGGAAAAAACAAAACCAAAAAACCTTAATGTCTGATGAGATCATATTGTTTGTGGCACTTGGCAACCCATATATGGAGGATTGTTTGGTTCTGAGTACCTTAGCTGAAGAGGAACTCTATAAATGCACAGCTATTAGGGTTCATTCAGATAGTGATGTGTATGGAAATCAGTCATAGATAGTTGAAGGAAATGGATAATATTTAGACCAGTGAAGAAATGGCTGAGGGACGTGTGATAACTGTCTTCAGCTACGTGAGGGACTGTCGGAAGATTAAATAGCTTTCTTCATCCAAAGAGCAAAATCAGGGCCATGAGTAGAAGTCATTTTCATCACAATGGAGGAAGCACATTCTAATAGTTAGATGGCCTTGTGAGAGACCCAAGTGATTTAGAAGGTCAGCTCTTCACTGGCAGCATTCCAGGACTGCCTGGACCTCTGCTGTTCAGAAAAGCTGTGAGAGGCCTTCTTGCAGTGGGGAGATGTGCCCAGTTGATTGCCAGCGCCCTCATAATTCTTCATTTCTAAACCATTGAAGGTGGGTGAGGCTTGAGCCTGTGTGACACCTTCAGCGTTACAGTGTGACACTTAAGGAAAATGACAGAAGCTTTGCCATTTATTTGTGCCACGTTTGAAGCTGTGGATTTCATGTGAAGTGCACAGCCTGTGTGTCTATAAGAAAGTGACTTACATGATGTGACTATTTATCACATGTGGAGCTTGTATGCACACATGTACGGCAGACACGTAATTAGGGAAACCAGAACTTAATGTGCCATCAGAGTGTTAAATTATTCAGTGTTCCTTTTGGTTGAATAAGGTATAATGGTTATTTTTTATATAGCTTGCTTGAGATGGAAAGTCAAAAAATTTTTAGACTGAGATAGACTGCATTCTTGATTTCTGACTTTTAGCTTCTTCCTATATGTCCTTTTTTATTCCTCTATTCTTTCATTATGGTCTTCTCTTGTGTTAAATAGATATTTTCTATTATGCACTTTAATCCCCTTGTTTCTTTCACTGGATTGTTTTTGAGTGAACATCTTAAAACAATATAGTTTGGATTAATACCTACTTAATTCTTTTTTTTTTTTTTTAGAGAGAGAATTTTTAATATTTATTTTTTAGTTCTCGGCGGACACAACATCTTTGTTGGTATGTGGTGCTGAGGATCGAAACCAGCACCTCACGCATGCCAGGCGAGCGCGCTACCGCTTGAGCCACATCCCCAGCCCCAATACCTACTTAATTCTAATAGACACCAAGAACTGCTCCATTATCATTGTATTTTGCATACATTGAAATACTTGGAACCTGGTGTCCCATAGGTCTGTGGGGGCTCTGTGCATTTTCTTCTTCATTTTTTAATAATTCTTTCTTGGATTGGATAATCCAAAAATTCGCTGATTTTTTTTTCTACCAGTTCATATTTGTTATTGAGTCTCTCTAGTGATTTTTTTGTTTCAATTGTTGTATTTTTTAACACTAGAACTTCTACTTGTGTTTTTTTTGTTGTTGTTGTTTTAAATAATTTTTGTCTATTTATCAATATTCTCTATAGGGTAAAACATTTTTCTTACACTTTCCTTTATTTCTTTAGACGTGCTTTCCTTTAGTATTTTGAACATGTTTATAATAGCTGATTTAAAGTCTCTGTTTGATAAATTCATTGTCTATACCTACCTCCTCAGGGACACTTTCTACTGACTGCTTTTTACCCTGTGCATATGTCCTACTTTCCTGTTTCTTTGAATGTCTTGCACTTTTTTATTGTTATGGTTGTTAAAAACTGGACATTTAAAATAATGTTGTAACTCTGATAATCAGATTTTCCTACCTCTGAAGAATTTGTTGTTATTACCATTTATTGTTTTTGGTTGCTGCTGTTAAGTGACTTCCCTAGTCTCTGTTCTTTATCCTCTATGGCCACTGAGGTCTCTGCTTGGTTAGCCAGTGACTGGACAGAGATTTTCTTAAATGTGCTCAGGTGTTCTTTGTATGTTGGGACACCCCTCACTATCCCAACAGTTTACCACTCTGCCTTAGCCTTCACTTCCTGCCTGTGCAGGGCAAGTCAGCCAGAATTGAGAGATCAGGCCCCCATCCGGTTTTTTTCTGGGCACATGCACAGTACTGCACATGAACCTACATTCCAGACTCCCAGGAATAAATATATGAGAGCCTTTCAAAGACAAACCCTGAGAACACCTCATCCCCCAGTTTTTCCTGTCTTTATAAATTTAAGCTTTCTTGGTCAGCTTCTTGTTAGCTCTACTGGCAGTGCCTCCTCTGGCATCTATAGTGCTAAACTTACTTAACACTTATTGCTTTAAACAAATGCCCTGGAGATGGGAGAGAGGTCAGATAAAGACTAGTTTCAAGAACAGTTTTCCAGCCAGGTGCCAGACAAGCCAAATCCTTTGGGGATTGGAGTTTAGGGAGATCTAAACCTGTTTGGCAGCCTCTGGTGGCTGCTGGGCTGCTGGTTTTTACAGTATCATAGTTGTGAGGCTGTTGTTTCAAGGCTGCCTTGTGTCACTTCGCTGCTTAAGTACAAGTTGAAAGTCGAAGATCTTACTGATATGCAGCCATTTTTCATGATTACATGCACCTTAGAGTGTATCAAGCCTTTCATTAAATCTAGAGTCCTGAAAAAGTCAGTTGTGACTGGGGCAGCATTCTGTGTGGTGTTATGGAGGAGCAGATTTTCAGAGATGCAAAAGTTAGCTTCCTATTTGTGCTTCATCCACCAAGGCCCCCTTGAGCAACGAGACTCTGCCTTGTGCATGATGCACATTCTTTCTCACTCTCTGATGCTTCTCTCTTCTCAGCTGTCTCTGGTTCATGAATTAGCCCCA